TCCGCACTTCTGAGCTAGCACCCACTTTATTACCTCCTGTACCTTAGCTGGACATTACTGGGCATTGCCAATTGGGATGGACCCGACCAGCTGAAATAATGTCTCCAAATGCAACCATTGCCATACAGGTGCAGGGAGAAATGTAGAAAGAATTGCAAGGAAAATGGAAGGGGATGAAATTCCCACAGGTTTTGTTACCAAGGGAATCATAAAAGTGAGAAAGCTGGGAAATTTGGCCTTTAGAAAATACACAAGGCCATATATTTCAGCCGCTTCTAGTTATATAAATCAGGAGTATCTGTTTGGGACTGGGTTAAGAGCCTTGGATACAGCACTTCTAACACTTCATCTCTGGTGGACACAAGTGGCACCTGTGTTCACATGTCCACCTTGTGCTAGAGGAGAGCTGTGCCTGTGTGAGCCTGTGTTGGGGCTCTGTGGGGCGGTGCCACAGGATGAAGTGACTCCCTATGGTGTCTGCATGGGGGATGAGTGTGTCTGTCTGCACATCCCTCTTGCTTACTGAGGAATTTTGTTTCAGAAGGCACCTGCTGGGGCTGGGTCTGTGTATAAGTGTGTTCCTGGGCATGCATAAGCCTCCGTGCTTGTCCATTAATGCTGCATGTGTGCATCTGCTTTTCTGCCAGGGACCAATGGCACATGTAGGTCCTGCCTGCGTGTGCTTCCCAGTGCATCTGTACTTAGCAGCTTGTTTACTTACCTGGGTAGGAACTGTCCTCTGACCAAAGGGGAGCAAGGAAGGGGCTAGGGCAAGCTTTGGTGGCAGTGTGAATGTGTAATGTGCCATCCATTCCTGCCATACATACACACCACCACCCCTGTAGCCTGTTCTGCTGCTGTAGCTCCAAGACCTGTTGTTTTTCAGGTCACTGCACTCTCAAACAGATAGCAGCATCCTTGCTATTTCCCCTGATGTGCATCACATTGCATTGGTTTGTTTGCAACCAGCCCCTCTGATCCTGTTGCTAACAATAAGGAATCCTCTCGTACGGCTCCTCCGAAGCCATATCCCAACACATTCGCTCCCATGGGTCATGTCTCCCATGCATGTGGGGGAGAGTTAACTCATAGTTGACACAACTATTTTCTTGCAAAAATGGAGATTGGGCTGGTATTTAGGCTGTTATTTTAATGTTGTGCTATTTTAATAGCTGTTCACATCAAATCTGTGGAGGATGTTGCCCCATCCACTGCTGTGTTTGTGCTTGACTGGATGGCACCAGGCAGTGTGATGAGCCCCTGAGGGTACCGATGGGGGAACTCTGTACCTTTCTTGCCTCCACACTTATCCATCCCAAGAAAACCATAATCCTCACTTCTCTCTTCTGAGGAGGAACCCAGAAGGACTCTGAGCTCAAAGTCATGGATGAGTTGGCCAGCCTTCCAGCTCCCTGCCAGTGTGACACGGGTACAAAATGCCATTGGAGAGGGGAGCAGGGACCATGGAGATGTTAGTTGACCTTCACCAAACTGTCTGGTATTTGAGTGATCCTGCAGTGACACAGGTTGGGACCCAGGATGCCAGGGTTTATTCCAGGCCTTAGGAGACAGCTGGTTAGATTGGGGTGGGGAAGGACAAATGGAAACTAAGATGCTGGGTTACATGGTAGCTGAGGAAATGGTGATCCTGGAAAGAAGGAAAAGGAAACAGAAGTCAGAGGTCCTGGAATTTATTCCCTGCGTGGGTTGGTCTGCTGTATTTTCAAAGGTATCTCTTGGATTTCACATGCTGGTCAACAACAGTATAATTGCCCGGATAGTTTTTCTTATTAACGTTTGTGTTGGATTATTCAAAGGAAAAGGCTAATGAATAAAAGGAAATTATTAATCTTTTGTTTTCTGTTGGAGAAGGTAGGATAGGGGAAGCCACAGAAACCTTTGCAGGTGTGAGGAGCTTGGGTGGACCCTGCACACTCACCCCTGGAAGCGTTTCAGCCAACAGCAAATCATTTCCATGCCAGGCATGTTTTTAACGCAAGGCTGTTTTGTGCTTAAGTGTCCCTGTCCTCCTGCTCTGGACTGACCGTAAGCCTCATAGAAGGTTGATGTTTCTGTGTTTGCCCCTAGGGGACAGGAAGCTCTTTGTGGGCATGTTAAATAAGCAGCAGTCTGAGGATGACGTGCTCCGGCTCTTTGAACCATTTGGGGTCATTGATGAATGTACGGTGCTCCGTGGACCTGATGGTAACAGCAAAGGTGTGAACCCCTCTGTGTGTCATGCCCTTTCTCCCTGCTCTGCAGGGAGCGCTCACCAGCCTCACTGCTTGTGCCTCCTTTCCACTGGGGTACTTATTCCTCCACTGTATCTTTATGGGAACCCCTATCACAGCCCGGCATAGGGAGCAGGGCACGAAGAATCATCTGCTGCCAGGAAAGACTGGGGAAGGTGGGCAAAGACTGAGGGAAAAGGAGGGGAAGCAGAGCATGATGAATAGCTGAGTTACCAGGATCACTAGTGAGCCTTTCTGTCAGTCGTGGGTCTGCAAGTTGAAATGTTTGTACCCACAATTAGGAGTCCGCAGAGACTTTGGGGAAGAGGTAATCAGGGACAAGGGTGGAGATGGTGACATCATCTGTAGAGTATATCATTGAAGTAATAATTTGAGACCCTTCCTCTTTTTTCCAGGATAGAGGACTTGGGATGAGTCATCCTTTTTGTTCCCTGCTTCCTTGGGGTGGCTTTCCTTTGCCTTGCCTGAGATACAGACACTGTCTCTTGCGTGATGGCACTTTCACAGCAGTCCTGTCACTGCAATCTCCTGTGCTCTTTCTGTCCCTTTCCAGGCTGTGCTTTTGTAAAGTTCTCATCTCACACAGAGGCTCAGGCAGCAATCCACGCACTCCATGGCAGCCAGACAATGCCCGTGAGTATAAGGCCAGGGTACCTACCCTCTTCCTAATCCTTGTCCCATTACCCTGTTGCAAGGACCTCCCCACACTCTCCAAAACCATGACAGGTTCAACTACAGTTTCCAGTTGGTGTGGTTGGGAGGTGTGTGTGGGGATGTGTGTGTGCACATCCGTGCTCTAGTCTTAGTAACCATCCTGTCTCCTGGTCTGATGTTTGTAGCTGTGTTCATCCAGACTGGTAGTGACAGTGCTTACGTCTATAAAGGCTAAATAAAAGAGAGCCAAAACAAGGCCATGAATTTGTCTTGGAAACAGCTCCCTGGAGTAGCTAAAAACTGAGCAGGGTAGAAGCTAACAATTCAGCCACATGGGTGGTCAGGACTTCAGTGTCTGAGCACACTCCTCGACTTCTCTTATCTAGGCAGTAGAGGAGGCCACTGGGGTGGGCTGGGTGCTGGTGGGAATGCTTTGTGTGTTATGTGGGATTGTGTAGCCATAGCTGTGCCTTCTTGTGCGAGTGGAGCTGCAGTTGTGATCTCATCTCAAGCAATCTCTAACCTGAACTGGGGCACCTCATGGGAAGGACAGTGCATTGCCTGCAGCAGGGGTATTTCCAGCTGCCAGGAACTGCTTTGCCTATCGAGCCAAGCTCATGATGGTGGAAAGATGGTGCTTGTGGCTGTCAATGACCTGAGTGTTCCTGGCCACACCATCACCTGGTGAATGTAGCCAGGGATGTGTGCACCCACTTATGCGGCTGTGCAGGGCTCAGGGTGTGAGGGGAAGGGCATGAGAGGGAAGGGTTGGATGGATGGACGGATGGGGAAGGGCACAGCCCAGGTTCCAGGCAGCTCCCGAGCACTTTCACGCCAATATTTGCTCTTCTGCTCCTCTTCCCACTCTGCTGCCTGTTCTGCCCCATCCTACCTTGCCTGACTGCTGACTCTCTGGCTGTCCCACACCTCTTCTCTCCTGCCTCCTGTCTGTCTCCTCTCTCTGTGCCTAGGGTGCCTCCTCCAGTCTAGTGGTGAAGTTTGCTGACACAGATAAGGAAAGGACCCTCCGTCGTATGCAGCAAATGGTGGGGCAGCTGGGGATATTCACTCCATCTCTCACCTTGCCGTTCAGCCCATACAGCGCCTATGCGCAGGCTGTGAGTATCCTGCGTGTGTGTGTGGGGAAAGGCTGCCCTCCTGACTGTGGGGCAGCAATGTACCTGGGAGACCACAAACTGGTCTCTTAACAATTGCATGGAAGTTTCCCAGCACCTTGGTACTTGCTCCTGGCTTCAGTTTCTCCAGTCAGCAGCCTTGTCTTGCACAGTCTTTGTGCGTTTCTCTCCTGGAATGGGGGGCAGGGGAGAGCTGGAACCTCCTCAAAATGAGCCTGGATTTCTCTGACAGTGGTGTAGGCTGGTGGAGGTGCATGGGAATAAGTCAAGCATGACCCAGTATCTTTCTGTCTTGTTTTGAGGACAGATCAGAGACATGATTCCTGGGCAATGTCTGCCAGACATATACCAACTTGTGAACTCTTCCTCTGGGTCAGTGGCACAAATGCGTGTCTCTCTCTCTCTCGTTTTGGAGCACCACGAGAGCCCTGGGCCCAGCTTCACAAGTTTATTTCTCTGCTGAAATTCTTAAGAGGGCCCTAATCCTCCCAATGCTGTCCTCGGCTCCCAGCGTTTTCTCACTTGGCTAGTGTGACTGTGGGGTTTGCAAGATGCTGGAGAGAGAGCAGTGGGTAGCAGAGGACCAGAGGTGTTTCAACAGTCTGGCTGTGCTTTGGATCTTAGTGAGAGAACCTCATTGCCTTGGAGCCACCGTGGCAATTACCACTGATGTTTGTGGCAGGTCCCAAACTCAACAAGTCCCATATCAGCTGCGGTGGAGCATCATTTGAGTGTTCTTGGTGACTGTCATTTTCAGGTCTCTACTGCCAAGTATAAAGCCCATGGAAGGAGCCTCAGAAATTGCTCAAGGCATGAGAGATTCTTGTGTTGATAAAGAACTCTGAAGTACATACTGAAAGTAATTTTGCAGTGGGGAGAGAGTGCAAATAAACCTGTTCTTCTCATATATGTGGACACCTCTTTCTCCTCTGGCTTCAGCAGCTACTTGATGTGCCTTACTTTCATTTACATGACAAAGAAGGAACTGTTTCTCAGTTGTTGGCCTTTTCCTTCCAAAGATTCCCCAGAAACTGCCAAATGCCTTCTAAGTGTGTGGCAAGACCATGGACAAGAGGCAATACATATGAGGCTCCATAATGTTGGGAAATTTTGGGAACCAAACGTAGAATTTATCCAACACAGATTATTTGATTTTTCTTGTGTAATGAAGCTGAGAACAGCTATACCATTCCAAGTCTTCCAGCAGAAGCATGATTTAGAGGGAAGAACCCCTTCTAACCAGGTACTTTTGCCAGGACCCATCTTTTCTGTCCAGCCCACAAGCCAGTTATACCTGAGGTCAAAGGTTGTAGCTTAGCTCAGCTGTGAGTCACCAGATAATCATTCTGGTGTATCTTCTGCTGTCATGGAGATAGCACTAACTTGGGCATGGTGTGGTGGTGAAGGAGGCAAGAATGGACCACATAGTGAGGTTATGATGGCAGAAAGTGTTTTATTAGCTTATGGTCCAGGATGTGTAAGGATGAAGAACAGTGAGACCTTCTAGACTCTTTTAAGTGCCCTCCAATCTTCAGGAACTCCTGCTGATGACAAGAAACCAGTCAGGTCTAAGCTGTGCTCCTTGCTTATCGTTACCTTCTTTCTCTTCAGTTGTGTCTGTTACTATGTTGGTCTGTCTGATTCTTCACTGGCCTTCCTACTCTCAGACCTTATTTTGGTTTCCCCTTGACTCAAGACTCAGCCTCCTGCTTCTTCGTGATTTTTTCCTCCTTTCCCTTTTCCTTTCCAATAGTTTTGGTTCTCTCTCCTTTTTCTTCCTGAGCCACTGACCTCACATCTGACTGTTTCTTCTCTTGTGTCAGTCCTGGTCTTTGGTCTCTCTTCTCCTGGAGGAGAGATCCTGGCCAGTTCTCATATGCATACAGTGTCCCCATCAGAGGGAGAGGATATCAGTCCTTTGAAATGCCATCTAACATCTCTCTGAAAGTGGCGACAGAAGAGAGGCATTTCCTTACTGAATCTCCTTGCAGTACGTCGAAATATCCTGATATGGGCAGCTTTGGGAGGTGGCCACTCTGGCAAGCCAGGGCTCAAGGGAACCCCAACATACTTCATGCTTGCATGATTCTGGTCTTGGAGTAGTAGATGCTGCACCGAAGGTTACCCACAGGGCCAGGAGATGCAGCTAACCATTATGGATGTGGTTGAATCAGAGTGAGAGCTGCAAGGGTGCATCATAGGCATCATAGGTTCTTATATTCATAATTTAATAAGCCAACAACTTTCTCTCTTTGTTCCCATGGGGTTTGCTGCATTGCCACACCAAAGCGGTCCTCAAGAGTCCCAGTTTAGGAAGAAGTTTGGAACCTGGGTTGTTTTGGTTTTGGTTTCAGCTGGATGTTTTAAATTTACATTAATTTCCTTTTTTTTTTTAAACTATCTCAAATTAAACATGAAATAATCATACACTGTGTTAGGTCTAAAATTATTCAAATCTATTCATATATGCAAAATAAGATAGTTAAAACAGTCAAACAGTACATGGTAGCTGAAACAGTTTGTAAGAAGTCTCATCTGGGAAGTAGAACTGGCTAAACATCTGGAAGAAATTTATTGCAATGCTTAAACCAGGTTTTGATCCCAGGTGCCTCTGCAAGTGAAAAGTTAGCATTTCCTTAATTTCATTTCATTCAACAAGTTAGTTCAGATGGTGTCGGGGAAATGTTGGAGAGCTGAAAAAAAAATAATAATTATCAATAGAAAAGAGGCATGAAGTTTTTAAAAAGCA